CCCACCAAAATTAATATCAAAAAACGTATTAAATACACCACATATGCATGGAATAATATTACACAAAATATAATCAAAAACTGTTAGTTAAAGGCTGATATTTTGCCAAAAAATGAGGATAATGAAACTGATATGAATAATGAAACTGATATGGATATTGAAGCTGAAAGACAGATTTGTCTTACACATATAGAAGAATTGGATGAAATTCAAGAATTGATCAATAAACTTGATTTTGAAAATCCCTTTTCTGCTGATGAATATGTTCAATATGATGATTCTGAAATTACAACAGATATGATATCAAACGAAGAGATTTTAAAGTTAATTCTTCCTAATAAGGCTGCTCCAATTTAATAGTTTATTTAACGTCCTAATTTTATATAAAAATTGAGGGGGGGAGGAGGTTAAATTAAGTAAACATTTAAAAATAAACATAGTTTTTTCTTTATCACTCAATGCATTTTTACTAAAAGTACATCTTAATTTATTACAGATAATGCAATTAATAAGTTTATATATGTTACTTTTATTAATTATACCATTTTCTTTGGTAGATTCAATTACACTAGAAAGAAATTCTTTTAAATAATATACAGATCGGTAATGTTATTATAAGACACGTGATATAACATATGTTTGTTTATTTTTAAAAAATTTTCAAAAATAAGGGGGGTGGGGTACGTTAAACAAACTATTAAATTGGAGTGGCCTAATGATAATGATAATCAAAAGAAAGAAATAGAAGATTTGGATCCTTTATTACCACTTATTACTCATAATGAAGCTATTGGATTTTATGATAAAATTATTTTATATTTAGAACAACAAGAAGATGTTTTTAATATAAAAAAGAAAGAATTGAAATTTGTTAGAAAGCTAAAAAAGGAAGTTTCAAAACAACAGTTTATTTTTGCAAGATAAACAAATTTTGATAGTTTTATTAATATAAACTAAATAGTATTTTTTTTTTGTAACGCATTATACATTATATAATATAATAAATTGTAATATATTAAATAATGTGATCTACGTCTAGATTATATATAAGTATTATAATGTTATATGATAAATATCCATTATATAATATACCAAATAATTCGTTATATTATACCAAATAATTTATTATAGTAATAACAAATATTTTTATAATGAAAGTCTAATTGGCCAAACTACTGACTTCGTTATAAAGCGAGTAGATTGTATTACGTAATATTCAGTTTAATATAAACTTACTTTCTCCTTCTTCTTGTTAAATTTAATAACCAATTAAATTATAATATTTATAAATCATATAATTTGATTAAGTATAATATAAGATTTTGATTATTATTTTTTCTCCTTTAATAATTATATGAAATAATGTATTCCAGTCATCACACTCTACGTTACAAATTTATATATATTTTTATATTTATTATTTGCCATTTTAAGAGGGTGCGGCACTGGTAAAAAAATGATTTATCCTACACATATTTTACACATATTGGGTACTCAAAATGTAGAAAATCATACACAAATAATACACATATCATACACATATCTGGTACTAATATATATATCATACATATATCAGGTACCTGATAGGTATACTATATATATAAGTACCCGATATGTGTATAATCTGTGTATTATTTGTGTATGATTTTCTACATTTTGAGTACCCGATATATGTAAGATATGTGTAGGATATGTGTAGGATAGACCATTTTTTTATCAGTGCGGTGTATAAACTAAAGATCAATATAAATAATTTACAAAAAAGAAAGGATGCTTTGTAACGCAGAATGCAGTAAATAAATTCACTCTAATTATATAATATTTGTAAGTTTTTTTATATGATAATTGAAATATAAACTGATAAAATTATATTTTGAGTTTTTTTTTCAAATTATCAGATTACTTTTATATTATAAAAGTTATTAAAGTTTATTTTTATATATACTTATATTAATTTATATATAAATATTAAATAATATAAATTAATATAATTAAGGATTTAAAATTTGAATACACCTGTGTTTGAACATATCTTTCCTTTTTGGAAATTTTTAAATAGTAAATTTGTCGATCATTTATAATTACGTTATGATCGGCAAATTTACTATTTAATAATTTCCAAAAAGGAGGTGCATTGCAATGCACCTGCGTAAAATTATTATTTCCTATAATTAATTATAGAGAATTACTAAACTTAATCTGGAGAAATTTTCCTTCCTTTTCCCTTTATTTTAATTTTTAATTAAAATATTGACTTGTATAGTAATTTAAAAATAAGATTATATGTAAATTTATGAAAAGAAAAGGTTTTATTAAGTTAAAAAAGGTAGTTGTTTAAATGGTTTTTGAGAAAATTACATAATTTTGATTTTTATAGTTAAATTGTATTTTTTATAATAAAATTTTTTTTTAAAACCAAAAATTGCCAAATTTTTATGCGATTAATATCCAATTATATTTATTTTTATATATTTCATAAAAAAAGTTTATTTTTTTTAAATTCTTAAGTTGAAGAGGAATTATCCCTCCAGTTAAAATTAGCAATACTCTTAATTATATTAATTTATTTAATTTATTTATAAATAAATATTTTATTTAAAAATAATAAATCCTAATTTAATAATAATCATTATAAAAATAAAATTTGAACTATTAATGATTATATTTCTTTAAAATACTCTTATTTTTTTATTTTTTTTTATTTAAATAAAATGTTAATTAATATTTTAATTTTCTTTTTTTATAGATTTATAAAGAATTTTAAATATTTTTAAAATAACTTATACTGGTAATTTAAAGTGAATTAATTTTTTTTTAACTTTTTAAAAAATCAGTTTTTTGCAATTTTTTTAGTATCCAGTAATTCAATTTTGATGAATTCTTTTAATTTATAGCTAATATTAAATTTTACAAAATAAAAAAAAATTTTATTCAAATCAAATCACTAAATGTTAAAATAACTGCAAAAGCAAAAAATAAAAAAAAAAGCAAATTGAATTAATTTTAATAAAAAGACAGTTATTATAAATTTTATATTAGATATCTATAGCTTTCTGAATAGTATTTTGAAAGTAAACTTTTAAAAATTTATTTTTTTATATTTATTTGATAAATATTAACTAATATTCATTTTATTTTTTATACCTTTTTATTTTATTTAACAAATATTAACTAATATTTATTTTTTTATAAATTCAGAACACAGAAAATATAGTTTTAAGTTTAATAATTTTAAAGGTATAACTTTAAAAACTAATATTTCTTTACATTAATTTTACTTAATGAATATTATACTAAGTTACTAACTAGTATTATTAAATTTAAGTTGAACTAAACTAAATTGAACTGAATTGATAGAATTAGTAAAACCTTAAATATTACATATATAACTTTTAAGTACTTTTTACTTCTTTTAAAATGGATCTAATTTTTCAAAATCAAATCATTCCATTTAAATTTATACTAATTCGCTAAAATTTAAAATATGAATTATAGTAAAATTCTAAATATTATAGGTTTAAATTTGTTTATAATTATTTATTTTAATAAAAAACTTTGCAATATTTAAATTATTTTGAATAAAATAAAAATATACTTAAATAAATAAAAATATCAAATTTTAAATTATTTATTTTATCTTTTAATTAAAATTTATTTGAATTTTTACAATAATTTTTGGGTAAATATATATGAAGTACATATCGGCTGGTCAGAAAAGCCTTCCATAATAATAATAAAAAGTAACCCATCAGTTATATAATGAATCTACCAACTGAGCTTAAATATTAATTGGCTTAATTTTTCCAATCAGCTGATATAAAAAGAAAAATTAGGTAGTTATATTTTAGTAAAAGAAATCTTATATTATTTTAATTTACTTCCTTTTATTAATTTTCAAAATTTTTAACAAAAGTTACAGAAAATTTTTTGGCATTTTAAAATAACTAAAATAGTATTATATTTTACAGATTTTTATTTTACAATATTAGCTTACTTTTTTGAATATAATTTTGTTTATATATATACTAATAAATTATTCTTTTATTATAAATATATTGTTATTTAATTAATAAAATTATGTGATTTATGATTATATGATTTTTCTGAATTTTAGCAATAAGCCAATAACTTTTATTACTTTTATTAGAAATTTTTCAAAATGGTAAAATCAACCATTTACATGTTAATAAAGATGGCAAAAAATATAGTTTGAAACATTAACTACTTTATTAATCTTTACTACATAATATATATTTGCAACAAAAATTTAAACATTTTATTATTAATTTTCAATAAAATTAAATTTTTTCATCCTAATAGTAGTCTTCAATAAGAAATAATTTTAAATCCTAATAGTAGAAATAATTTTAAAAAAAGTTGCTTAAAAATTAAAATATAATTATGCATGCTAATCAATGTTTTAAAACAAAAAAAAAGGATAAAACAATAAAAAACTGATTTAAACGTCTTGTTTTAAATCACGCAAAATCAACATTCAAAACCCCCAAATCCTAAGCTTTTATACCAAAGAAAAGCCACAGTTTTAATCAAAAAGAGTTATTTATTCGTGATTTACCCGCAATATATCTCATAATATGCTCATCATCATCATTCATAATAATAATCATCATCATCTGAATTCAAATTACTAGTATAGTGATCTATACCGTGCTGTATGATTCGATCAAGATCTCTTAGTATATATTTCAGGGAATTGATCTTGAAGTCGTTATCCTTTACATCCGGAAGTTTCCATCCACTATATATTTTATTGTTGCATCTAGAGATGATGATATTATATCCTTCATCATGTGCAAAATCAGTATACAGTTCACATAAGTAACAACAACTTTTAGATACTGCTATAAACACCCTTTTTTTTTAATATTATTGTTTATAATATAGGCCGATATTGTCATTGCCGGATGTAAGTATATGCGTTGTTTAACATCATCGCTGTCGAGCAGTTGATGTTGCTGTGTATCTTTGTCGTTATATACTTTTCTTATTCTTTCCATTATTTCAGACTTTTTCGAACAATTATCCATGAAAACTTTATAATCATCAGTAAACCTTTTGATAATATTTTTCCACGAATATATAGGCTGATCTTTTATAATATCAGGTACCCCTTTATACATTATCACATTAGAGAATTGTGATTTATACTTTTTATTACGTACACATCTTGTGATACTTAACATAGATTCAATATAAGATCCCGCCTTATTAATATGCCCTAAAAATTTTGGGGGAATGCTAGAATCATCTTTAACTATATTATAATACTCATAACAAATTTTGGATAATTGGTGCATATCCATATCATAATCCTTAGCTAAAATAAAATCTTTGAAAGATTTAATGTGTCTAATATAATTATCATCATCAGTGGTTTTAAGATCATTTTTAAGCTTTTCAAATATAGACTCAAGTTTAGCAGAACAATATGACACCACTTCTTTGACAAAAGCTGTCTCAACACTGACTAATCTCTTGGGAGCATTTGTCGATATAGTTTTCAAATAACAAGTAATATTATTAACATATTTATTATCGTTCTCAAGCCAAGCAGTGTTTTTCGAAAGGTAAATTATATAGCCATTGGATAAAGTTTCCAACATCACTGCAACTACTTCTTTATTCCTTGTAAATATTTTTGCTAAGTCACAGGAAAGTTCCTCTTCAACAGTTATGTCATCAAGATCTTCACTTACTCCATCGACAGCAAAGTCGATACTTTCGGCAACGCACTCTTTACCATACAATTCTTTCTCTAGCTCTTTCACTTGCTCTTTCTCTAACTCTTTCACTTGCTCTTTCTCTAGCTCTTTCACTTGCTCTTTCATTTTGTTATTTTTTTTAACCGCGATAACATGGACAAAATTTAGTTTATCATATCTATTGCATAATATATACAGTACACGTATTAGTTAACATTATTTATGTGTCACTTATTGTAAAGCTTTCATAATGACATCAAAAAGAAATCAGTAGAAAGTTTAAGAAGAATTACGTGTAATAAAAATATTCAATAAAATTATAAAATTAATAATTTGCAAATTTTTCTATGGTGCCATGTTTTAATAGTAAAGACATAAAATATTGTATATCTGGTTTATCTTTTAAAACATAATAAACAATAAATTTTATAAATTAAATAAAATTTGCAAGAATTATAAAAGTTATTTTAGATAATAAAAACACTATAGTACGATGATAAATATTTCTTCACGCGAAAAACATCGCGAAAATTTTCTCTGATAAATGTTACACAAAACGAAATTCGTCAAATTTTAATCGTACACCTCAGTTTAGGTTAATGGTCCACACCCCACGTTTCCCCACCTTAGGTTAAGGATGCACGTTTATCACGATCAGATAATCTCTTTTTTCAGACGTGTCATGCGAGTCATGCAAGCGAAAAAAGAGAGAGAGAACATAATAGAAAGCTTTGGTGAATCAACGATTATATTATTATTATATTATTTAATCATGACGAAACACGTGATTCTTAAACTGCACCATATATTAACCATATTAATAATTAAATTAAAAAAAAATCAATTTATTTGTCTCATTCTGATCACCAACCAAAATTTGCGCAATTGATACAAATTTTTGTATAAAGAATGCAATTATTAAAAGAAAATGAAGTTAATTGGAATATAATACTACATTTTCACAAATTTTGAAGACAAACCCAAATATTTATTAAGTGTACGAATTGATATACCCAATATTTTATTCAGATTCTCTGATATATTTCCTAATTGAATAAAAAAAAGAGAGAAATTTTTAATATCCGATAACATCTGAATCTCAATGATTAAAAAAAGATACGACAAGTTGGATGATTGTACCTTGAACCTCGAAAATTTTTGTTCGCTCATCGGCTTGTATTTTAGGGAATCTCTAAGAAAATATTAATCTGTTCTAAGAATCAAGTGAACTCCACTATCACTCCAAACTGGTTCGCTCAATTCACCGACTTTAAGTTTAAAAGCAGCCTCCTCGAATGAAGGTTGCATTTGTCCTCTACCGAAATAACTCAAATCACCATTGCGTTTTGCACTTGAACAATCAGATTCAGTAACAGCAAGCTCACCAAGAGTAATTTCGCCAGAAATGATACGCGAATGGTAGGATTTAATTAAAGCCAATGCTTCGTCTTTAGTTCTAGTTATGTTGGGCTAAAAAAAGGTTAATGGGTTCGTATCAAAAAAATAAATAAATGAATAAATAAATAAACAGAAAAATGGAATAAAATAAATATAATAAAATAAAATAATATAAGTGAAAAATTAGTTGCCTAAATACAAACCTCTTTCCAAGAACTAGGACGTCTACTTTTTTCATGTTTGACCAATAAATGACTAGCTCTGATACGACCATCTCCACCTTCTAATGGGTCAATATTTTGTGGATCTTGATTGTTCGCATATCCCTTAATGTCTCTAGGATCAATTCCCTCAGGAAGGTCCCAAGTACTTTCTTTAGTTCTACGATTATAATAATAAATCATTCTACGGGATCGGGAAATTCGAGATTCCCACTCTGAAGCATCAACACTTCCTGTAGATTCGTCTGCTGTATCATTAGAAGTAGCAGCGTCGCCGTTGTTCGAAGGGACGGGGCCATTATTGGTTGTAGCAGTAGCTGTGGCTGTTTCTTCGCTGGTGTTTTTGTTAGTTCCAATATCAGATTCATTGGGACTAGCCTAGTAAACCGAACAAAATCTTTGTTTTAGGAAAAACATGTTACTTTCATTTTAAACCGTTGGAAATCCTCTTTTCCAGCTTACCATTTTATTTGTTTGTTTTATTTAGTCAATTTTTTTAGTTTTTTAAAGTGATAAAAAATGTATATGTACAGTTTGTTTTCGATCTTTGACTGGGTTATAATTAGGGAATAACTTATAATGGCCAAGCCACATGTCGAATGTAAACGATACAAGCAAAAGTTACACAATTTCTCCGATCTGAATCTGATCACAATTTGAATTTCCAAATGGGGAATTTTTTTCCTGAATACTCAAAAATTAAATTAAATCTTTAATTAATTTTTTTTTTTTAATGTAAATTATAAAAATAATGATTAATGATACAGTTAAATTAAAATAATTAAAATACTAATTTAAGACTTAATATTGTACTTGACACGAAATTCATCTAATAATTTATTTAACTTATTGAATAAAGCTTCTGTCTCAACTTCATTATAATCTTCAATATCATCAGTATCAACATATACCTCGCCAAAACGATTACAATAACTACCAAATTTTTTTATAGCGGCATTATTTAAAAGATCAATAGGTTGAGTTGCAACGTAGTAATTAGAATATGATCCATTCCAATTGGTGACAGTTTGATTTCTCATTCCTAAAAAAGTTCGTGCCTATAAAAAATTATATAAATGAATAAAAAAATAAATAAATAAAAATAAATAAAATAAAAAAAAAACTCCGTTATTTTGGATATAATATTTACCGCGAACAGTCCTATTAGCATTCCGTAACCCATAACCCAACCGAGATGATCTCGTACGATGTTTGTGGCAGCAATTCCAGGATGAGTTGCAAAACTATAAATATCATGTTTGTTTAAGCGAGAATTAAGTCCAATGGCAATTAAATCTGTCATTCGTTTAGACGATTCATAGGGAGCATTTCTAAATGAATAAGAAAAGTAAAAGTTAATTTAGAATGTTATTCAAAATTTTCTTTTTTCTTTTTCATAAAACGTAAAAAAAGGTTATTACTCTTTAATAGCTTGATAATCTTCCAAATTAAAATTTTCTTTCGTAGCAGTACATGAACTCGTCCAAATAATACGAGAATTTTTTGTTTTAATTAGTAAGTTTTCGAGCTCTCGAATCTAAGAATAAAAAAAAAGGGTTGAATTTCAGTATTAATCATGATGTAAATATAAATATAATTAATCACTTACCATAACATAATGTCCAAATACATTACAAGCAAAGGTTTCACCTAAACCTTCAGCCGTAGTTTTTCCTACGGGCTGGACTATGCAATCTGTTCTTGACATTAGTGCAATAGGACTAAAAACAAGTTGTTTGGCTACTACCGACCAATCAACATGTGTACACGGTAAAATTCCCGCGTTGCAAAAAATTAGATCAATTCGATTAAATCTATGATATGAATTAATAAATTCAGACGGAAGCTCAATCATTTTAACATTTCAAGTGTAATAAAATTTAAAATTAAATACCTTTTTTTCACTTCTTTACAACATTCGAACACAGACTTAACTGAGCTCACGTCTACTAGAACGATTTCAACAAGTCCTCCTGTGAACTCTTTTAATAGTGCGTTTTGAGCATCAATAGCTCGCGTTTTGTTTCGACAGGCGAGAACAATCTTAAATTGTTCATTAGTATTTTTTGCCGAATGGTCCAATAACCTTTGTGCAACTCCATAACCTATTCCGCTAAAAAATACCTTCAAAAGTGAAAACCATATCAATTAATGACGTAATTATATATTAAAATACCTATTTGCACCAGTAATTAATGCAATTTTGACAGTCGACATATCTTTTATAGGTTTGTTTCTTTCGTTTCTTTTTTTTCGTTTATTTCGTTTTTTGTTCATTTTTTTTTCTTGAACTTTTTGAACTTAAATTGAAGTATAAAAATTGCACAATCACGAAAATGATTTTAAGTTTAATATGATTGGATATAATCATCAATCCTTTATATAAATTTGTAATTGATACACACGTTCATTATCTTTCTTTTATTGGAATTAGAATAAATTAAAAAAATGCAGTCAAATTTTCAAGATCGTATCAAATTTCATCAAAAATCATCCCGTATCACAATAATTTATGATTTATCTCCAGACGAAAAAGGCAAATTTTTTAAAATTGATTTTCAATCAGAATCCGTATGTATTAAATTGTTTAAAGTCCTTTTTATCAATTAATTACTTCTTTAATAAATTACATTTATGGCAGACAAGCCTCCGAGAAATTTTATCAAACGCATCATCATCTTCCAATGATCTCATTTTCACAATTCTTCACCCACCTACTAATTTTTCATTAAACACTTATTCGATTTCTTCTTTGAATATTGTAACAGTCCTTAAAAAACTTGATAATTCAGAATGGGATTCATTAAAATTCAAGTTCAAATTCAATAATGAGGAAACTTTAATTGAGAAATGGTTTCTTACAAAGGAAAATGTACAAAAATGTATTAAAACCCTGGATGATGAAACTAAATGGGTAAATATAATTTTATTTTATAATCTTTATAATTTATAGTCTAATTTTCTAATGCTTTATTACCATTTATGTGAAAATCAACTTCACAAATATAGAATAAAACTTCTCTAGCACCGGAAATTGAATCTACGCAAGCGGCACGTGATAAAGATGGTATAATTGTTCAAATAAAAATTAAACCTTCTTACTAGAAAATTGTTTTTATGTCTAATATAATTATTGTTTATGGGTTCGTTTCTTCTTCTATCCATTCATCATTGACAAGTCTATAAATCTGTTAAAATAAAGAATGTATTAAAATTATTGTTGTTATTATTATTATTTTTAAAAAAATTATGCTTACCATTCTCTTTGGAGGAAAAATTCCGTATTCAAACCTTATAACTTCATTAATTCTAAAAACTAGCAAGCAAAAATTATCGAAAGCAACTTCATGATTAACCTTATCAGGATTATCTAAACTAATGTTTCTGTCAAGCATAGAATCTAACTTTAGACATTTAAATGCTTTGTCTCCATGTTTTGGTATTTCTCCTGATGGAGGCCATGTAAAAGTTGCACGAGTTTGTGATGATAATGATGACCAAACTTGTCTTCTAACTGATTCCCAATGTTCTTGAGCCGATATTTCTGAATTCATTAATTCCGTACCAAGTTTGGGCGGAGGGAATCTTGTTATTTTTTTTGGTGACGCAACAATATAAAATCTTCCTAATAAATTATAAATTTCCTTTGTTGTTGGCATTTGCCTGTAGCATAATATTATTTTAAGAGAATAAGGAAAATAAAAATGAATTATGATCTCAAATTCCCTTTACAGAGAGAATTGAAACTCACCAGCTTAATTGAGCACTAGGATTTGATTTAATATCACCATGTAATTGGTTATCATTAAATGCCATTAAAAATGACAAATGTCTTGAATCATCTTTAATAAAATCATGAAATCTTATATTGTGTAATGAAGGTTCTCCATTCCTTCGAAGATTTGTCATTTGTACATAAACTGACAGGTAAATGTATTAGATTTTATAAACATATTCATTACGTGCACGAAAAAATATTGCATATTCGGTTGTAAAGAAACCCACCAATACTTCGATAATTTTTTTTATGACTTTGTTGCAATAATTGATTCCATGTATCCATTCTAATCAAACAATTTTTTTTAAAAAAAACAAAATAAGGTTTCTTAAAATTTGTAAAGAAAAAGTCGATAAATTTTAGAAAAAGAAAATCAAAATTAGTAAATTAGTCAGTGTAAACCTTTTTTGACCATTTTATAGAAAATCATTGTTTTTCACGTTTTCATCAGTTAATGTTGCACAAATTTAATTTATAATTTGTTCAAATTTTTTTGTTATCTTCATATGTCAGATATGACCATAAGTTGTTTCATGTATTTCCAAGGTCTCTGGATAATTATAGTTTAGGACATATCCGGAATACGTTTTATTTATTTCCGTCAGAAGGTTTGGGTCCTGTGTGTTCCGCTCTCAAACTGGATAGTTTGATGTGATGGTTAACTAGTTTCAAACTGCTGACCGGTTATAACTGGGATTTTTTTACATCGCTAAGAAAAATTTTCAAATTAAATGTGTTTCTGAAAAGGTAAATTCCCGTTAAATTTAAAGAGATGAACATTAACATAAATACTAAAAAAATTTTTTTTGCCGTAAATTAAATTATCAATCGAATCCACTTTTTGAATTGAAATGGATAAATTCAATAAAATTAAAGCAGACCATTGCTGGTAATATATTTAAAAGAATTATAAAAGAAAAAGAAAATTTTATCAAATTAGTCTCAATATTCTTAAATAGTTTCTTTATTCCTCTTCGAATTGGAGCTTTCATCGTTGCAGCGTGGATTTTCATTTGGAATCTTTATCTTGGTATTTTTCATTTTTTAACAGCAGGATTCAATGATTTCGGATGTAAGTTATTAAACGAACAACATGACTTTAAATGAATTTCAAGATGGGCTTTAAAATTAATTTTTTTAACAAACTTATAGCGATTTACACGAGAATTGTCGGAGTGCTTTATTTATTCGTAGCTTTAATTGCATTTTATGGTGCTCACGGTATTTATAATGAGAACCCTAATAGAGTAGCATTATTCGCAAAATTTTTTCTCTATAGTATAATATTTAATATAGGAATGAGTATTCTATCAGTTATTTCATTATCTATTGCTGCTGCTAAAGATAAAGGGAATTGTGAAAAAGCGAATCCTAACAATACTGAAGTTTGTGATTATAAATTTCCTGTTGTAAGTTGGCTTATTAATTTTGTTATTGGCGTAATTATTGAAGTAAGTTGAATTTTTATTTTTTTACTTTTTTTTTACTTTTTCATTCTTTTTCTCAAATTTTCTTCCATAGGTTTATTTGTATATTGTCATCAGATCTTACAAAAGAGAGCTTTTTGCTCGTGTATCTGATCATTCTGATGTCTAGAATATTTGTGACTGTGCCACTGTCGATTAATCAAAATAAATTACCCTATTAAATTACAAAATATAAAAGCCACCTCATAAGCCTTAAATGTGTTTGCTTCAAATTACTATGTCAAAAAAGAATGAAACAATCGGTTATCGCCCAAAGTGTTACATAACTTGAGTCATTTTTCATGGGTTATTGAATGTGTTGACGTGAATTTCATCTTCAAAGATAATTACCTAAAAAAATTTGAAATTTGTATTTGTCTTAATAATATAGAGTTAAACGAACCGAATTCAAAAAATTAATCAAGTTTCAATGATTTTAATATATTAATAAATTTATCACGTACAGTATATATAATTTATATTCTATAAATAATAATAAATACACTTTCACTTTCTCTTTGCAGTAGAACAACACTTGTCTACTACATTCTTTTATTATTTAATATTGAAGTATAAAAATATTGCGAAATGATATATAATACCAAAAAGAAAGCAGGAAGAGATTGCTTGTCAAAAGTTATTTTCTTCGTTTATATTATTCTGGTCACTAATTTTCATTTTTACGTGATTCTCTAACTTATCCATTAGAATTTGATAACTTGTAGACAGGATATGATAGTGATCATGAGTGATATTTTTTTTTATCTTTTGTTTTTTATCTTTTTTTTTGTATTGTTGCGCTTTATTAAGAACAAAAGAAAGCCACCTAATACAAAATATACAAAATACAAAAAGCCCACTCCCGAAGTGCAATGGAAATGTAACAAATAACTGGTTACACGTGGAAAGAATAATGTGAAGGAAATATTAAGAAAGTAGGCAAATAACCACATGGACAAAAAAAAATCTACGGGAACATGTAAAATCCATACAACCTAGCGCAGTAATATTTTTTATTTATATACCACCTATTTTTGAACAATAATTTATAATAAAATTTTGTTTGAAATGGTAATATTACGAGTTCTAAGTAGAAAGATTGAAAATAATATGAGAAGAGAATTATTATTTGGTTGGGACTTGGGATATTTGTAAAAAATAAAATTCCCATAAAGTTGTTGATTGTATTTATTAAAATAATTTTATTTTCTATTATAAATAATAATTTACTGAGTAAAATATTAACATATTATATGATAAGAATATTAAAAAAATAATAGTTATTAGGACTCTGAGCTATTAGTATAAGGTTTAGGCTTAGGCAATTTAAATATTTTTAAAAGGTGTTGGATGAAAAGGTAAGATTTTTAATTTACATAATTTCAAAAAAGATAAAAAAGATTTTATTATTTATAATTAGTTTTATCAACTTTATTTTAATAAAAGTTTATTATAAGTTTGCTCATCTTCTCAATATTATATCAACTTGCCAAAATCTTCTAATTTTTCCAGCAACTATATTTTTAAATTTTAATAACTAAAAAGCTTTATATTGGAAATTTAATATATAAAGTATATATATAAAGTATATATATAAATTTTAAAAACTCAAATAATTAAAAATTTTTACATATATTTAAAATTGGTTTTTATCATATTCTATTAATAGTATAAATTTTAAATTATATATATTACATATATAATTCAAAATCTGAATTTCTAATACAGTCAAAGTTCTCTATAGCGAATTTTTATATAGCGAATAATTTGCTATAATGAAGAAAAGTTCAGGTACAGATCTTTAGTATTTATAATAAAATGGCTTTTAGTATAGTGAATTTCTTACTATAACGAACCTTTAAAATTTTTATATAAAACTAAGAAACTGAGATTATTAAAATATTTGAAGCATTATAATTATATACTATATTTATTAAAGTTTTACTGATATTATAAAATTACATTTATATATTATTTTTTAGTTATGTAAAATTACCGTATATCGCGGGCTACAGTACCCCCTATGCACAGTATCTCTTTAAAAAAATTTATCGGAATTTTAAAGTACCCGGATACTTTACATAGAAATTTCAATTTAAAATCTTAGAATTTGTAAAATACCCGAGTATAAATACTTATTTATAATATAATATTCCGAATACAACTTTATTTATTAAATGGAGTATTATTTAACATTTATTAATTTTGTTTATTATTTATTATACAAATATATTTATAGTAATATACTCCTTAATTGGTCTTTTATTTCTAATTATAATGCAAGTTTAATAATTAGCAATAAATGAAATAAAATAATATAAAAAAAAAAATTTTTACCTTATATGTTTTTTTTAATTCATTTAGTCTATGACGCATTTCTTCTTGATCATCAGAATCTTGATAATCATAATTACCATCATCTTCCTCTTTCTCACTTTCACTTTCATCATTATCTTCTTCCTGACCAACTTCAATAACAACTTTAACATCCCATTTATTCTCATAATTAGTTTCTTCGGGATATTCTTTATAATTTTCATCGGTTGAGTTATCCAAATTTTCTAACACTTCATTATCTCTATTCAATAAACTATCATGATCAAAAATACAATCATCTTCCGAGCCATCAATATTTGTCGATATTTCACAACTTTTAAAAGATCTTTGAATAAGATTTTCATCAATTTCATCCCACGACTCTTTAACCCATGTTGCGACTGTTGAATAAGAAGGTCTTTTAATCTTTTCCGCTGGAGTAAAGGCATGAATATTTGATATCATCCAATTATTATATCGATCTTTAACCTATAATTTCACTAATATTAGTAACTAATAACTAATAAGAATAAAATTGAAGAAAAAGGTTAAATAACAATACCTTAGATTTGAAACTTTTATTAATTGCAACGTCTAATGGTTGCAATTTAGATGTACAACTGCCAGGAATCATGGCAATATTTGTATTTTTTTTCACTAATCGATTTTTGACAGAATTTACTATATGCCCTCGAAAAGAATCTAATACTAACATAGAAAGTGGATTTCCAAAACGGTTCCTTGAAGTCCAAATGTTTTCAACCCACCACAACATTTCCTGTTCGTTAACCCACCTTTTTTCATTAGCTCTTATGTAAATACCGTGTGGAAATTTTTCTTTCAGAATATTTTTCAGTTTGAAAATGCAAACTGCAGGAAGTTTTGTACTATCAGCCATACATGCAAGTATAACTGTAAATGATGATCGTTTGTGACCAGTTGTATGAATATTTACCGTTTTTGCTCCTTTTTAGTTTATAGTTGTATTACTTGGCAAGTCAAATCACATGGATATTTCATCCATATTGCCCATATATTTTAATTCATATTTATTGTGAATTCTTAGGTACATAATATAATTCAGAAAAATATTTTGTTTTTCAATTAAATCTGATGGAAGTTGCTGTGCTACTGTTGTTCTACGACGCTCACTAAGGTCATATCTTCCTAGAAATCCATCAAGCCATCTATTAGAAAATTTAAACCCAATAATATCCGGATTATTTGCTAATGATTCTGGACTTTTGGATAAGGAAATGGCTTTATTGATAATTAATTTTTGAATAACGGCATTTCCATTGGCTCTTTTTTCACTTATCCATGCAAATAAATCATCTTCTAATTTCGGATATCTGGTAGGTTTACCCTGATGAAGTTTAGCCATATGAGGAGCAGTTGTTAGCAAAGTTCCTTTTTTATTTTTCCAATCACGCAATTGTTTAGGCTGAATATCAAATATTTTAGCAGTTCCACGTATACTTTTATTATTATTTTCATAATAATACACTATCATTAATTTTTCCCTTACGTTTCATTGTCTTCATTTTTTTGTGGTAAACGATTGTGTATTTTTATATTTTTCTTGTTGCTAATAACTACCATTTTACTTTAGCAGAAAGAAAAAAAAGACACGTAAATAAAGACACGTAAATTAAACAAAGACATTTTTATGTATTAATAGGGGTATTTAGATAAGTAATTTTGTGTAAAATATCTTGAAAAAGTATCAAGATATGAGAAATAGAATACATTTAGAAATTCTTAACGAGAGATTACATCATAGTGATTATCCACAATACCCAGATATTATACATGGCAAGTACCCCGGATATTTTAAAAATTCTGTACCCTCTATGTATAGTATCCACTCATGTAATATACCCTTGGGTACAGATCCAAATGCCCAAAATTTGCAAGATACCCGGGGTACTGTGGCCCGCGATATACGGTAATATCAATATATTTAAATAGTAATATAAATCTGTAACATATAGTTAAATTTATATATACAGTCAAACCTTGATATAGCGAACTCTTGATATAATAAATTTTTCAGACAACTATAATAAATTTCCCTTATTATAACGAATTAACCAATCAAATCTTTTAAAATCTTTACTATAGCCTTATGGCGAAGTTGAGAGCTGGAACCTAGGGTTCGTTATAACAAGAGTTGACTGTATATCATAAAATTTTATTCATCAATCAGGTTATAGTATAAAAGCAAAAATTATTTTTTTAACTACTGGCTTTTTTGCTATAAAATATTTATTTATATATTTAAGGTTGCTTATCTAAACCTCTTCAAAATCCTACGATTAGTTTCGTTAAAATTTTACTATAGATTTATTATAGTTTCGGTAGAGTTTTGGCAGTTTTGGCATTTATAATAAGTTTCAGCAATTTCGCCTTTCTCCAAAGTTTTGCCAGTTTTTTAATATAACTTTAATATAGTTTTGGCAGAATTTCGCTTTTTGGCGAAATGCCATCTTGCCTAAACCCTAGGTTTCGGCAAGCAACCTTATATATATTTATATTATGCAAAAAAGTAATGATATAGTTATATAAGACCCCAAATAATACTAATATAATTCACAAGTAAACTTTAAGTACTGAAGTAAAAATACATATTATGACATAACTCTGTTAATATTGAAGCTAGGAATTCAATTTTACTATCATTAGAATTCTCTTATTGAGATGAATCTAATGATATAAATTTTATTAAAATCAAATTACTGGTTGTATTAAAAACAGGGGTATGTAGGATAACGAAATTTTGAAAACACCTCTGTAATATGCAACTTTTAAAAAATTTTAATATAAACTCTACACAAACTTAAATGTGAGTTGTAATAAAATCACTGTTAGAATCTTAAATGTGAGTTGTATCAGTATTGTTTGGAATCCTGTTATATAGGTCAAAAAGGTAATTTTTGCAGTATAAAATGATATTGCATTTAAAATGTATAAAAGTAAAAGATTTTCTGCTATATTTTAAATAAAAAATATAAAATTAGAAAAACTAGAAATAAAAAAAAAAAAAAAAAATTGATAACTTATAAAATATAATAAAAAAATTTTTTATATAAAAAAATAAAAAAAAAGTAAAGAAAATTGAAGACTTGCAATAGAAATATAAAAACTTAAATAATCCATTAAAATAGTTAAAGAAAAAGTTATTGAAAAAGTAATTAAATTAAAATGTAAATAAAATAATTCATTAAGATAAATTAATATTTATATTGAATAAATAAAAATTTTTTAAAAAAATTACATTTTTTTAATTTGAAATATATACATAACAACTACAATTATAACAATAAATATAGTGTTTAATATCATATTTAATGTATATTATATAGTAGTAGTAGATTAATTACATTTAATAAAAAATAATAAAATTTTATTATAAAAATAATTTCATATATTTATTATTAAAATTCTGCACATATTTTAATAATATGAAGAACTGCGTAAATTTTGATTCTGCAGAACTATACAGTTTTGCATTCTTCCAAAAATCTGTGCAATTTTTTATTGGATTTTTTCTCTGATGTTTTGTGTCAAGGTATAAGATCTATATAGAAATAATTTCTAAAAATCTGTGCAGATCTGCATTTCAAAAAATTTTCCAATAATTACAATTACAATTATAACTGGCATAATCATTACAGTTAATATAATCATTTTTTAAAAGTTTGGATGATTATTTTAAATACAAAAAGAAAAAAAAAAAAATAAGCCCTATAAAAAGTATTTCTATTTAAAATATAATTAAAAACTTTTTAAAATATATTTAAAATATATTTAAAAGAATTAATTTTATTTATATTTGCCAGTGGTTAATTTAAAATTAATTCACCAGGTAGTGAATTTATCTCTGGTGAAATTCACCAGTAATATGATAATTTTAGTAGTTTTATATTAATTTAATTTTGTTTGTATTATGTTTTACAATTTCATACATGTAAATAAAAATTTTTTTATAAATTTTTTTAAACTGTAACTTTTTTTCCAAATATACTATATATTAAATCCATACAACTCAATTTCATAAATTAGAAATGGAATTTATAGAGAAATTTGTGTTTTTTATAATACTACTAACTGTTTAACTCCTAAAGTTTTATATTTTTTATTTAATAACTTTAGAGTATAATTTCATTACTTTAGTCAAATGAAATCGATTTTTTAAATTAATTGAAAATTGTTCAGCAAGGTCGAAATTGTGTATATTAATTTTCATATAATACATATGGAGAAATCTACATTTTTTATAATGGTACTAACTTTCAAATTTTTTTTTTCTGTTTACTAATTTTAGAGCATAATTTCACAAAGTTCATGATTAGTTTCATAGTTAACAATATTTTCATTTTGGTTTTCATTTTATCAGTTAATGCATTTATCAATATTTTTAAAATATGCCTTATTCTTTTATTATACTTTCATTTATATTCTCTACTTGGCCATGTCTCATACTGTTTTAAGATTCTGATAACTTTTTTATTTGTTTATTTTCTTGATCTTTTTTGCACAGCATATTTCATAATAATCAATGGTTTCATTTCTTTAGATTTGCATTTACAAAGTATTGATCAGTTAGTCCTTTGTTTAAACATAAATGAAAATTAATGTTTGTTTTTGATATTTGATTATTTATTTTATAGTTTTTAATATTGAATTTTTTATTTTTTTAGAAGCTACAATTTAGAGGATGTTACTTTAAAGCAATAGTTTATTACACTTTGACGAGATTAAAATTTTAATTACATAAAATATTTATTACATTACATTAAAATATTTATTTAAAAGTTAATGTTGCTGTATAATCAGTTAGTGAAACGAGCCCATCCGCCTAGGTTCCTTAATTTACAGTGGAGGTGTTCCGGACGTTAACGCTATCATGTGCATATTTCCCGGGCGTACATCTCCAATCGTTTTTTATAAGATTATCGGATTCATAATCATCCGATTCGAGGCTAATGGCATCGCTATCAGAATCTGCCCTTATTGCCTTTTTTTATCTTCTCCTATGATACGATTAAGACTCCATATCATAAATTCCAGGGCTTCGATCTTGAAGTCGTCATTTTTTACATTTGGAATTTTCCAACAACTATATAATTTCTTGTGGTATCCAGAGACGTAGATTTTGTATCCTTTGTACCATGCAAATTTAATGAACAGTTCACACTTCACACATGTAACAAACATCTTTTAGATACTGCTATAAACACTCTTTCTTTAATATTATTTTCTATAATATAGGCCAATAAGTTCATTTCCGCATGCAAGTATATACGTTGTTTAACATCATCGCCTTCAAGGGGTGGTTGTTGTTGTGTATCTCTATCAGTATATATTTTTCTTGTTTTTTCATTACTTTAACGTCATTAAGACAATTATTCATGAAAGTTTTACTTTTAGATTTGTCAGCAAAAAGACTTTCGATTGTATTTTTCCACGAAAATATGTGTTGATCTTCTATAATATCGGGTTCCTCTCAACATTAGAGAACAGTGATTTGTGCTCCGTATTACGTGCATATCTTAGAATATCCTGGTCTTCTGTTCTTTTCAAGAAAATAAACTTTCATAATTTATAAGCAAACAGAATAATGATATCACAACAAGAAGTATCCATTATCACACAGTGTGAAATATTAAATAACAAAGATAAAGAAGAAATGTTACTTGCAACTTGCAAGGTAATTATGGTTATCTAAAAAATTTAAGGAAACAAAAAGTAAAAAATAAAATAAAAAAAAGAACTAAAAATCTAAAAAGTAAAAAGTAAAATAAAATAAGAGAATAAATATACTTTAATAGTGATATACTTATAATATAATTACACAAAAACGCATGAACGCATGAATAAGAAATTTTCGTGTAACCTACAAAAACGCGAACTTTCATCGCGTCTTCTTATTACTGTATGTAATTATAAAATCACATGCGGTTTACGTAAAGAAAATCATAAAAAGTCAATTAATTCATTTAATTGAAAAAAAATAACTTTCTGGTCTTCAAGAAAATGTTTAAACTTTCATAATTTATACGCAAACAGAATAATGATACCACCACAAGAAGTATCCGTTATCACACAATGTGAAATATTAAATAACGAAGATAAAGAAGAAATGTTACTAGCAAGGTAATTATGGTTACCTGAATAATAAAAAAAAGCTTTTGTTTTTAATATTTGGTTTAAAAATAATAGAAAACCAGAAGTGAAAGTGACTTATGGTAAACGTAAGGATACGTATTTTGTGCCTGAATCGTCACTTTTAGGGTATAACTATTATTATTGTTGTAGAATTTGTTAAGAGTTTATTATTAACTATATATTTCATTCAACCATAAATTAGTTCTATGCGAAGTGATTCATTTCTTGAAAATGAACCAGTACTTAGAGACACGACTAAATTGAATGAGTACGTAAATGATGCACAGTCGGAGAAACGCATTACCACTGGCAGTTTAGAATTTAATAATGAGTGTATTGAAATTGGCGCACAATTCATAAGACCAAAAAGACGTGTCACAACTGGCTCTACATTACCTGTTGTTGTCAAATTTGCTACTTTTATGGAGGATGAAAAACAAGAAAAAAAGTTTGGAATAAAACAAAAATGTATTGGAGATTTTTTTAAACCTGCATCAGTAATTGGTGATGGGTCAAATAGTAATCATCATATAAAAAAGAAAAGATATACCATTCCAAAATTTAAGAAAAACAATGACGGAAATAAAGAGAATAAGGAAAATTCAGCGTTATCATCACGACCCAAAAAACGCGTCAAAAGTTACGAACAAACTTATCTTGATCTAGGACAAAAGAATTTTGGTACATATACATGTCCAGAATGTCAAATGTCTTATGTTCAAGGAACACTAGCTGATGATACATTACATACTAATTTTCATCGCTTAACCCTTGAAGGAATTAAATATCATGTCAATATAATTTTCTTTCATTATTTATGGGTAGTATTAACTTGTAAGTTATATTAATATTATTGTTTGTTTTTATAGAGTTATCAAGATGAAATTACGTTGGAAACAATTCCTGAAATTAATGGTCGTGTGGTATTGCTTGTTTATAATGAAACACGGTTCTTTGAAAAACTTAAAGTAAGATGTATATGTTTACCTGATTTTTCAATTTTTTTTTTTTCCATTTATTTATCTTTGGTTTTCTTTTTTAGATCAAAAACACTATTGAGTGGGTCAATTTAGAGCTTGGTGCGGTAGAAATGACCGAGGAGAAGTTAAAGATGAGTAAAGCGTACTTTTATGTCGCTAATAAATATGACATTGTTGGATTCGCTTTGGCAGTTCGAATTGAAAAAGCCTACAGAGTTGTTGATTCTTCAAGCGAAAATGCTCAAAACGAATCCAGAAAAGTGTCAAAATTGCAAATTGGAAATGATAATGATGGGTCGGGTATTTTCTGTAGGTAAGAATTAATTTAAAACCCATTTTACGTAAATTAATGCACCTTAAAAAGAATTAAACGAATACTTTTTATAGTACGAAACCACTTCGTGCTGCTTGTGGAATTAGCCGGTTATGGGTTAAGAGAGACTATCGAAGGAAAAAAATTGCGACAAAACTATTGGATAGCGTCAGGTATGAAATTTTCTATCATTAACACTATATATGTGAACATATATTTATTTATTTTTTAAATTTTAGAAAAAATTTTATTTATGGTTGTGAACTCAAGCCTGATGAAGTAGCATTCTCGCAACCATCTGGAGATGGTAAAGCTTTTGCCTCTCAATACACAGGAACTCGAGAGTTTTTAGTGTATGCTGATGAATAGATGCGTATTTGCATATAGTTTTAAAACAAATAGGTAACGCTTTATAAAATCTTTACATATCGATTAAAAAATAATTGTTTTTATTATTTAATATCAAAGTAAAACTGAAATATACAAATTAATTTTATGATAGGTTTATTAAACAAGATTTGATGGGTATATATGGTCTTCAATATTAATAAAGTTTTCTTTAATAGTGCGCATGGATACAAACCGATATAGCTATAAATAGTTAAATGAAAAAAAAATATTAGCAACCAATAATTATAATTAATCAGAAGAAAATTAATTATTATATATTCTATAATAGATTAAGAGAAGAAAATTATGTATATAATCTTATTATATAAAAAATATACTTTACCAAACTTGGGCTTCCTGCTTTATCATTCGTTCCGGAAGAACGTGAACCACCGAAAGGTTGCTGACCTACAATGGCACCCGTAGACTTATCATTAATATAGAAATTACCAGATGCGTGACGTAGTTTGTTTGCTGCCGTTATAGTTGCGGATCGGTCTTCTGAAAATCTAATAAAATAAAAGGATTATTTATGAACCGAATTATTATAAACTGAATATGTTCGGAGTTTATGAAATATTAACATACATGGAACCAGTCAAGGCATAATCAGTTGTACTATTAACTATATCTAAAATTTCTTCGTATTCATCAGCTTTATACCTAGATAAAAATAAAATATATTAGTAAACAAAAAAAAAAAAAAATTCACGTATAACTTCCATAGAGATGAGAAAAAATAATTATTTACACGTATATAGTAAGTACAGGTCTGTAAACATAAAGGCGAAGTTTCAAGTTAGTAATTTAATTCATATATCATATATAATACACATAATGTTAAATTCGAGCTTACCCAAAGATTTCTTCAACTATTGTTTTACTTTTCGGATTTTTAGTAACAACAACGGTTGGATCTATGAAATAACCTTTTGATTTACTATAGGTACCACCAGCGATTATCTCACTATCAGCATCTTTAGCAGCCCAATCAATGTAGCCTTTAATCTTTTCAAATGATGCTTCATGACTAAAAAAATTCAAAATTTAATTTAAAGAAAAAAAATTTAAAAATATTAATGATTATCATTATAACTTACATGACAGCTCCCATAAAATTAGAAAAGTCTTCAGGAGGACCGGTCTTAATCTTAGAATGTTGTTGCAATAAAAGTTCACGGAACTCATCCCATAAAGAATCAGGTACATAAGCTCGTGAACAAGCAGAACATTTTTGGCCTTGATATTCAAAAGCTCCACGAATAGTTTGATTTACAGCATTTTGTACATTAGCAGATTTATGTAATAAATGAAAATTTTTACCACCAGTTTCACCAACAATTCTAGGATAAGATCTATAAATATCAATATTATTGCCAATATCTTTCCATAATTTTTTAAATACGGCAGTAGAACCAGTAAAATGTAAAGAAGCGAAATCAGGAGATTTAAAGATGGTTTCAGTTATTTGTTCAGCAGGACCAGGTATAAATTGAATTACACCATCAGGTAAACCAGCTTCTCTTAAAATTTCCAATACGATCCAATTAGACAATAAAGCACCTGGAGAAGGTTTCCAAAGTATTACATTACCCATTAAAGCAGGTGCACTAGGTAAATTACCACCTATAGCAGTAAAATTAAATGGCGTAATAGCATAAACAAACCCTTCTAAAGGACGATATTCGACACGATTCCAAACACCAGGAGAATTCTTAGAAGGTTGTTGTTGATAAACTTCATGAGCATATTTAACATTAAATCTCCAAAAATCAATTAATTCTGCAGCAGAATCAATTTCTGCTTGCCAGGTATTTTTTCCTTGTCCAAGCATAGTAGCAGCCAATAATTTATATCTATACTTTCCTGCGGCTAAATCTGCTGCTTTTAAAAAAATAGCTGATCTATCACTAAATGGATAAGTTTCCCAAATTGATTGTGCTTTTAAAGCTCCTTTAATTGCTTTTTCAACAATTGAAGTATCTGCTTCATGAGCTTTAGCTAGGATTGTTTTATGATCCGATGGGATTTTTTGTTCTTGAAATTTACCAGTACAAATCTTTAATTTATTTAGGTAAAAATGAAATGAAAGAGAATAAGTTTATTAAATTGAAAAACTGATAATATTGTAAGAAAGTAATTTACCTTTTCTCCGTTAACGAATAATGGAATTTCAAATGGAGCTTGAGCTTTTAATTCTTCCAAAGCAGCTTGAAGTTTTGTACGGTCCGCACTACCTGGCTCATAATTTCTCTAATATAAAAAAATATGGGTCAGATTTTTTTTTTTTTTTTTTTCGATAAAAAAAAAATTTCTAAAAAAAAAAATGTAATGAAAATTTACCATAGGTTCATTATTAATTTCAGGTAATTTAAAGGTACCAAGAGTAGCATAAGAAGAGTTAGACATTTTGGAATAATTTTTTTTAAGAAATAAAATAGAATTTTTATTGTTAATATTTAACAATGTACTAGGAAGTGAAGAATTTTTTAAACTCTTGATATTTAAAAAAAAATTAGATCTCAATTTTAGAATTACGTATTTATTATAATACATTATTGGGAGCCAATTATTACTAAAAATTTACAAGATCTGGTTTTTTTTTAATAATATTTATATTTTATAAAATAATTTAAAAATGTGATCGTGAGAACATTAATTAAGATATCGTTGTTGGGGGGAATCGACTATTTATGAAGTTTTTTCATTATAAAATTTACAAAGAAGGGAATATAAGATCGTGGGGAAAATATAAATCAACAAATAAAAAAATTGAATAAACAAAAAAAAAAAAAATAAATGATTGATCAGCCCTCTAAAATGAGTACAAATTGTTCTTTAAGAATAACAATTTGGTAAATTCACATAATTTAGGTTTCTGTATATTTGACCAATTAATTTTTCCGTTCATGGGGGTTTAATATTTATTATCCCAGGATCAGATGATTACAATCATTAACGTAGTGTTACAGAGCAATTATTTCGTGTTAAAAAAATATTATTGGTCTTACTGAATTTGTAGAGTTATTGGTCTTACTGAATCTGTGGAGTCATATTTTGCCATATTCTGTTTTCTGCCTTCTCATTCACTCGCCAATTAAGAATGGGACACAACGAAACAACATTAATATAATTAACATTAATATATCTTAAAGGTAAAGATCAATCTAAAAAATGTAATAAAAACACCTGATTCCAAAAAGCTAATTCAAAGTATTCAAAGTATGGTGGAATCGAGAAAAGAAAAAAAAAAGAAGATCTCGGAAAGAAAGTCTCCAAATTTGTGCCTGAATAAGTCTGAACACCACATTCATGTTTCATGCTCCTCATAAATAAAATTTCAAGTAACTTTTAATATCATGATAATTGGGAAAATTCAAAAAGTGAACACCAATTTTTTAAGGAGAATGTAACCAACAGAAATCATGTGATCGAGTGATCAGGGAGTTAATGTTGTTGATATTGCGTGATGAACACATGATTTTGTTGATCTCATCCGGTGACTTTATCTAAAGTAATGTACAACATTTAAGAAATTAAGAGAAATATTTGTCCTATTGTTCAAATTTCGTATGAAAAGGATCCAACTACAAGTAATGACATAATTCCACGTGATTTTACGGACAATTAGTTGATTTTTTTAAAGTTAGATTTTCATTGCATCTTTTGACATTTTTATATTAATATCGCATGAAATTAAAAAAATTTAAAGAATTAAATATGCTTTAAAAGGATTTACGGAGGAATTTCATTTGATTTCATCCCTTCCTCCTTAATAAATGATTATTCTCCTTTCAATGTGACAGTTTGTACACTTGTGATGTTAAAAGAAATAACTAAAATTGGAAATTATATTAATTTCTTTATTTTTTACGGAATAAATTTTTTTTAAGAATTTTTTTTTTTTTTGTTTGTTATAACCAGAATAATATTCATTATCAAATTCATTGTAGTCGAGGTTATACAAATTATATATGACTAAATAGTTCCCATGAAGTTCCCATATTAACTTTATTTTAAATTCCATGTAGATCCTTATTTCAGAGAGCAAAAAAATCTGCATTTGCGCCAACAGTGTCCCATTTTTTTGATATACGAACGCCAAATAACTTTATCATAATTTTTATTATTTTACCCTATTTTGTTTCTATCACTGCTTCTGCTCCTGCTTCTATTTTTGCTTCTGCGTTTATTATTTTTTTTTTTGAACAAAAAAATCTGAAACTAGGAGATTTAATTTTTGTACATGTGTGTGATATATTTATTTATTTATTTATTTCATTTTTTTTTAAAAAAAAAAAAAATTGTACAGGTGAACAAAAAATTAGAAAATTATATAACCTCGACAGGTTTTGTGATTTTTCTCTAGTTACACTTTCCATGATTTTTACAAATACATTCATCCGTTAACCGGTTGAGAAATAATAGAGAATTTTACAATGTAATAAATATTTATAAATAATAAATTTTACTCGATTTATTCTTAAGCAAGTTTATGTATTAAAATTTTTGGACTTATATGGCTGGATAACAAATATTCTATCCCTTTTATAACCTTCATTTTAAAAGCCTACTAGAAAGCTAAGCATAATCTTGCTTTTGTATATAAACATTTTTGAGTTAGTTCTAAAGTCTATTTGAGTTGATGCAACGGAGATGCCGGAAGCAACAAAAATCCATTTTTCTGCATCTTTTTTTATTCGCTGCAAGTTTGCGCCCGGAATCGACTTTTAGAATTTCTTTTCCCTTTCAAATAAATTTCTTTCCTTTGACTTTTCAAAAAAAAAAAAAAAAAAAAAA